GGACACCCTTCAGGGCAAACCAGCCGGCCCCCACCCATGCACCAGGCCTCTATCCTATATAATAAAAGGGTAATATGCAAATTGACCCTAACAGCAGAACGACTGGGAATGACTGGTCACTATGACACACACTGACCACCAGGGGGCAGACGCTCAATGCAGGAGCTGCCCCCTGGTGGTCAGTGCGCTCCCACAGGGGGAGCTCTGCTCAGCCACAAGCCAGGCTGAAGGCTGCCAGTACAGCGGTGGTGGTGGGAGCCTCTCCTGCCTCCTCAGCAGCGCTAAGGATGTCCAATTGCAGCTTAGGCCTGCTCCCCGCTGGCAAGTGGATATCCCCCGAGGGCTCCCAGGCTGCCAGAGGGATGTCTGACTGCCAGCTTAGGCATTACCTTGGGGATTGAGCCTAAGCCAGCAGTTGGACATCCCCCAAGGGGTCCCAGACTGCGAGAGGGCACAGGCTGGGCTGAGGGACCCCCCCCCTGAGTGCACAAATTTTTGTGCACCAGGCCTCTAGTATTACTAATAATTATGGAAATGCAAATAAAATAAACAACAAGATATCACGTCACACCTAATTGTGATGGGCACTACAAAAAAGCACACCTGGAAAACAACAAATGTTGGCAAGGTTGAGGGAAAATTGAAACCCTTGTGCACTATTGGTGAAAATGTAAAATGGTGCAACTGTTATGGAATACATTACTATAGTGTCTAAAAATAAATGTTAAAGGGACTTTTTTAAAAAGAAAGAGAAAAAAGGAACATAGTCAAAGAATAAAAAGGGCAAAAATTATGTACTAGTCAATAATTGCCTTAAATATAAATGGCCTAAATGGTCCATTCAAAAGACATGGGCTAGTATTTTGGATAAGTAAACAAAACCCATATATATTGTTTACAAGTGACACACATCAGAATTAAAGATATATATCGAAAGTAAAGGGATGTATGAAGAGGTTACATGCAAATAGAAATGGAAAAAGAGCTGGGTAGAAACATTTATATCAGACAAAATAGACTTTAAAAACAAAGTCTAAATAAGAGACAAAAATGACATTACATAATGATAAAGGGATCAATCAACAAGAGGAAATGACCCTCATAAACATTATGCACCCAACATAGGAGAACCTAAATATATTTTTAAAAATCTTGATGGACATACAGGAAGAATCAACAGTAATATAGTCATAGTATGCGATTTTAACACCTCACTGACATTAAAGTATAGATCTCCCAGAAAGAAAATCAACAAGGAAATTATAGCCTTAAAAGACACACTACACCAGATATATTTAATTGATATTGTCAGAGTATTTCACTCCAAAGCAGCAGAATGTACATTCTTTTGAAGTGCATATAAAACATTTCTAGAATATATAACAAGTTATGACACAAAACAAGTCAAATATTGTAAGAAGATTGAAATCATACCAAGCATCTTCTCTGACCATAGGGTAGGAAACTAGAAATCAGTTAACAGAAATAAACTGAAAAATACATTGAGACTAAATAACATATAACTAAACAATGAGTGGGTTAACAATGAGATTGAGGAAGAAATAAAAATATACCATGAGATAAATGAAAACAGGAACACAGCAACCCAATTTTTAATTTTATTTTTCAATCACTGTTTAAATTCAATACCATTCCACACCAGTTTCAGGTGTACAGCAATGTGACCCAACAACCATGCACTCTACAGAGTGATATCCCTGATGCCCAAGCACCCACCTGACCCCATAGACAGTTATCTCTATACTAGAGGCCCGGTGCATAAAATTCATGCTGGGAAGGGGGGAGGTCCCTCAGCCAGGCTTGCACCCTCTCACAATCCAGGACACCTTGGGTGATGTCTAACTGCCAGTCTAGGCCTGATCTCACAGTAATACCTGTGGGATCGGGTCTAAACCGGCAGTTGGACATCCCTCTCACAATCTGGGACTGTTGGCTCCTAACCGTTCACCTGCCTGCCTGCCTGCATGCCTGATCACCCCTAACCACTTTCCTGCCTACCTGATCACCCCTAATCAATCTGCCTGCCTGCCTGATCACCCCTAACCCCTCTGCCTGCCTGCCTGATCACCCTTAAGCACTCTGCCTGACTGCCCGATGCCCTTAACTGCTTACCTGCCTGCCCAATAACCCCTAACCACTTTGCTGCCTGCCTGATCACCCCTAACCACTTCTGCCTGCCTGCTTGATCGCCCTTAACCACTCGCCTGCCTGCCTAATCACCCCAACCACTAGCCTGCCTGCCTGATCACCCCTAACTGCTAGCCTGCCTGCCTGATCACCGCTAACCATTTCTGCCTGCCTGCTTGATCACCCCTAACCACTCTGCATACTTGCCTGATCACCCCAAAATACTCGCTTGCCTGCCTGATTGCCCCTAACCACCTCTGCCTGCCTGCCTGATCACCGCTAACCACTCTGCCTGCCTGCCTGATTGCCCCTTACTGCTCACCACCTGCCTAATCACCCATAACTGCCTCTGCCTTGGCCCCCGCCATGGCAGCTTAGTCTGAAGGACGTCCGGAATGACGTCCGGAAGGTCATTTGGATGTCTGGTGTAATTAGCATATTACACTTTTATTATTATAGATTATTGACTATATTCCCCATGCTGCAAACAGCATTTTCAGTGGCTATTTTTAACAGCTACTAATTTGTACTGCTTAATCTCTTCACCTTTCTCACCCAGCTCCCTAAAACACCTCCTATGTGACAGCTGTGAGTCTTTTTTCTGTATCTATAAGTCTGTTTCTATTTTGTTTCTTTGTTTTGTCCAATAGAATTTAGTTGAATCTATAGATTGCTTTGAGCAATATAAAGACTTTAATGATGCTACTTCTTTCTATCCATGCACACAGTATATGCTACCACTAATTTGTATCACCTTCAATTTCTTTCTTTATTGTCTTATAATTTCCCAAGTACTGGCATTTTACCTCCTTGGTTAAATTTATTTGTAGGAAAGAATTCTTTGTGCAATTATAAATGGGATTGTTTTTATTATTTTCTATTTCTGATTGTTCAATATTTGGGTGTAAAAATGCCACTGATTTCTTCTTGTTTTAATCCTCACTCAAAGATATGTTCATTGATTTTTAGAGAGAGGGGGAAGGAAGAGAGAGAAATGTTGATGTGAGAGAGAAACATTGATTGGCTTCCTCCTGCACTTGCCCCAATCAGGGTGGGGGATCAAACCCACAACCTAGGTATGTGCCCTGACCAAGAATTAAGCCCACAACCTTTCAGTGCTGGGGTCTATGCTCCAACCAACTGAGCCACACCAGCAAGTCTGATTTTTTAATATTAATGTTATATCATGTTACTTTACTGAATTAATGTATCATGTCTAATAGCTTTTTTTTTGGTGGAGTCTCACTGTAAATAATGAGAGGTTTACTTCTTTATTTTCAATTTGGATGCCTTTTATTTCTTCTTTTCATATGATTGCTATGGCTAGGACTTCCAGTACTATGTTGAATAAAAATGCTAAAAGCAGACATCCCTGACTTGTTCCTTATCTTAAGGGAAATAATTTTAGTTTTTCCCTCACTGAGTATGTTTTCAATGTGGGTTTTTCATATATGGTCTTTATTATGTTGACCATGGGTTTACAACAACCCAAAATTTGTGGGATACAGCAAACATTATCTTAAGCGGAAAATTCATAGCATTGCAGTGCAACATCAAAAAACAAGAAAAATTTCAAAAAACAACAACAACAATTGAATCTTACCCCTAACGGAACTAGAAAAAGAACAACAAACAAAACCCAAAATGACTAGAAGGAAGGAAATAATAAAATATCAGAAAGATGATTTTAAAAAGAGTTTAAAACCCCAACAAAAGGTTAATGAAACCAAGAATTGTTTTTCTAAAGATAAACAAGATTGGGAAATCTTTAACCAGATTCTTCAAGGAAATAGAGAGGACCCAAGTAAATAAAATCAGAAATGAAAGAGGAGAACTAACAACTAACACCACATAAATACAAAGGATTATAAAAAAAAGTTGACAAACAACTCTATGCCAACAAATTGGACAATCTGAAAAAAATGTTTTAATACCCAGAGATATATAATCTCCCAAAACTGAATTAAAAAGTAGAAAATCTGAACAGACTGATTATAATTAATGAAATTGAAGCAGTAATAATTTAAAAAATAACCCCCACCAAATAAATATCTTGGAATGAATGATTTCACAGGTGAATTTTACCAAGGATTCAAAAAAGAATTGACACCTATCCTTCTCAAACTGTTCCAAAAAATTCAACAGAAAAGAAGACTCTCAATCTCATTTACAAGACCATAATTATTCTTTTTAATTTTTTAAATATAGTTTTATTGATCTTAGAGAAAAAAGCAGAGGGAGAGATAGAAACATCAGTGATGAGAGAGAATCATTGACCAGCTGCCTCCTGCACAGACCCCAATGGGGATTAAGGCCACACCTGGGCATGTGCCCTGACCAGGAATTGAACCATGACCTCTTGGTTTATGGGTCGATGCTCAACCATTGAGCCATGCCAGCCTGGGGCATTATCCTTTTTTAAAACCAGATACAGATACTACAGAAGAAAGAATGTTATAGGCTATCCCCACTGATATACACAGATGCAAACATCCTCCACAATATTAGCAAACTGAATTACATTAAAAAGATCTTCCATCTGCCAAGACCGGTTTGGCTCAGTGGAGGGAGCGTCGGTCTGTGGACTAAGGGGTCCCAGGTTCGATTCTGGTTAAGGGCATGTACCTTGGTTGCGGGCACATCCCCGGTGGGAGGTGTGTGGGAGGCAGCTGGTTGATGTTTCTCTCTCATCAATGTTTCTGACTCTTTCTCCCTTTCTCTCTGTAAAAAGTCAATAAAAATATATTTAAAAATAAATAAATATTTTTTTTTAAATAAATGAAAAGATCTTCCATCATGATCAAGTGGGATTTATTGCTGTGAAACAAGGTTGCTACAATATACACAAATCAATTAATGTGATACACCACATAAGCAAAATGAAGGATACATATATGATCATATCAATAGATGCAAGATAATATTTGACAAAATCCATCACTTATTTATGATGAAAATTCTCAGAAAATTAGAAATAGATAGAATATACCACAACATAATAATGACCATGTATGAAAAATCTACAGCTAACTTTAAAATCAACAGGGGAAAACTAAATAATTTCCATTAAGAACAGGAACAAGACATAAATGTCCATTTCCACCACCCTTTTTCAGCATAGTACTGGAAGTTCTAGCCACAGCAATCAAAAGGCATCCAAATTGAAAATAAATAAATAAAAGTGTCATTATTTACAGATAACATGATATACTATTAGAAAAACCTAACAACTCCATCAAAAAACTACTAGATTTGATACATTCAGAAAAGTAGTAGGATACAACATGAGTATTCAGAAATCAGTTGCATTTTTATACTCCAATAATGAACTATCAGAAAGGAAGACTAAGAAAACAATTCAATTTACAATTGCATAAAAGAAAACTCACAAAACCTAAGAATAAATTTAACCAAGGAGGTACAGATATGTACTCAGAAAACTATAAAACACTGAAGGAAGAAATTGAAGAAGATACTTATAAACAAAAACCTAAATTGTGCTTATAGATAGGAAGAATTAATATCATTAAAATATCTATACTACCCAAAACAATCTACAGATTTAACCAAATTCTTATAAAATAATGGTGTATTTGACCAAAGTAAAACAAATAATCCAAAAATGTATATGGAATCACAAAAGACCCCAAATAGCCCCAGAAATCTTGACAAAGAAGAACAAAGTTAGAGATACCATGGTACCTGTTATCAAATTATACTACACACTTATAGTACTCAAAACAGTTTAGAACAAGTGTAAGAACATACACATAGTCAATAGAACATAATAGATGGCCCAAATATAAACCCATACTTATATGATCAATTCATATTTGACAAAAGAGGCAAGAACATAAAATGAGGTAAAGACAGTCTATTCAATAAATGGTGTTGGTAAATTTGGACAGATACATGAAAAAAACTAGACCACTTTCTTATACCATGTAAAAGAATAAACTCAAAATGGATTGAATATTTTAATGTAAGACTTGAAAATCTGTAATAGGTTAGTTTGGGATTGATTGGCATATTGCGAGGGAATACTATGACTCAGTGGTTAAGAATGGAGATGTCAAGCTTTTAAAATTATTTTCAAAAACAAAAGAGTTTAAATATATAGTGATTCAAGATTTGACTTTAGGTGATGGGCACACAATGTCCACCATACAAATGATGTATTATAGAATTGTACACTTGAAACTTATATAATTTTATTA